AGGTCATGTATACTTGTGTGAATTAGTCGAGCAATCCATGTTCTCAAGGTTGCTTACTTCAGCTTTAAAGCCAACTTTCTGAACTTCATCCACAACAAGGGACAAACCTTCAGAATGTTGTAGCATAGAACTGGGGGAATGGGCAGTAGCAGATCACAACCTTAGCCAAAGTGCTATTGGCATCTGATTACTGCTGGGTGAGGGAGAGTTAATCTTCTTTAACTCTAGATAGATGACTAGACCCCAGTGGATGAACTTGCAGTGAGGGACATCTGGATACATTAATTCAATAGACCTTAACATAAATGACAGGGTGCATGAAATCTGGTGGTGGTGGGGCTATGGAAGGGTAGAGAGGGGGATATAAAGATGATTAAGATATTTTGTATGAAATACACAAAAAATTCATTAAAAATCTACAAAAAAAGTGTAATTTTGGCGTGGTATGATTTGTGAGCCTGTAATCTCAGCCCTTGGGAGGTGAGGCAGGAAGGTCAGGAATTGAAGGTCATCCTTGGCTCACAGAATGTTGGAGGAGGTCAGCTTGGGCTATACAAGACTTTGTCTCAAAAAATAAAAACTAAAACAAACCAGACAAACAAAAAAATACAACTTAGTTTCTTTTTATAAAACTACATATTCATTGGACTGGAGAAATAGCTCAGCAGTTAAGAGCACTGGCTGTTTTTCTGGAGGACCTGGGTTCTGTTCCCAGCACCCGCAGGGCAGCTAATACTCATCTGTAACTCCAGTTCCAGTGGACACACGCCTTCTTGTGTACTGCATGCAGGTAAAACACTCATATACATAAAAAAATTAAAAGAAAAAAAACACATATTCACTGTAGGGAGTTTAGAAAATACGTACAAGAAGAGAGAGAGAGAGAGAGAGAGAGAGAGAGAGATTAAAAATAGCCTTCAATCTCACTAATACTTTAGTATCTATCTTCTATGCCATTTCTTTCAATCTTTCAAAAGTTTTTTTTAATTACCCAAGAAATATATGATTAAATCTATTTTCTCAGGTTATTAAAAATTTGTTTGTTTGAAGTAGAGTCTCACTATATAGCCCAGGCTGGCCTCAAATTTGGCATATTTTTGCCTTATGCTCTCCAGTGCTGGGTTTAAAGACACACATCGTCATGCCTGGCTCCATTTTCAACATTCTGTAATGATTTCTTTACTGCAGAATTTGAATTCTGACTCTGTTCTTATGCATCTACTGTAATCTGTTTCAAAGAGCAAGGAAGCTTGGGAGTGGGAGTGACGTCTCGGTGGTTAAGAGTGCTTGCAGCTCTTGCAAAAGATTCAAATTTAGTTTCCAGCATTCACAATGAGTGGCTCACAACCACCCAACTCCTGAGTAACTCCAGCTCCAGGGAATCTGAGGACTCTGGCCTCTTCAGGCATCTGCATTCATGTGTATCAACCCACATGCATATGATTAAAAATAATAAAATTAAATCTTTTTTTTTTAAAAAAAGCAAAGGAGCAGATGTAAAATATTTACATTTTGTTTTTAACCAACATCTCAATTTGTTATCGTCTCCTTTATTTTTTCCTTAAAATTTTAAAAACCTTTTGCTTTTTGTTAGCCCCTTCTCCCTTTCCTTTGATGGGCTAAGTTGCCCAACCTGACTTCAAACTTGGAATTCTCCTGTCTTAGCCTCCCAAATAGCTGATGTCTTGATAGTTTTTTTTTTCCTGTTGCTTTGATAAAATACTTGGAGAAAGGCAACTCATAGGAGAAAGTGTTCGTTTTAGCTCACAGTACAGGCTGTCGCATAGAACAGTCAAGGCAGCAGGGACTGGAGGCAGCTGATCACACCCAGTTCACAATGAGGAAGCAGAAGTTAGGAATGCCTGTGCTCAGCAAGTTTTCTTCTTTTTACACATTCCGAGACCCACTATACAGAATGATACCGTCCACATTCCAAGACCCACTATACAGAATGATACCGTCCACATTCCAAGACCCACTATGTCGCATAGAACAGTCAAGGCAGCAGGGACTGGAGGCAGCTGATCACACCCAGCTCACAATGAGGAAGCAGAAGTTCACATTCCAAGACCCACTATACAGAATGATACCTTCCACATTCCAAGACCCACTATACAGAATGATACCGTCCACATTCCAAGACCCACTATACAGAATGATACTGTCTACTTTTGGGTCTCCCCATCTCAATTAACATAATAAAGATAAACTCTCACAGACATGTCCAGAGATTCAAAATAAACCCTCACAGGTATTCCTGGAGGCAGTGTGAGGGATTGCAGTCCTGTCACGTTGACAACAGCAACCTTCAAAGGTTATGGTATTATGGGCTCATGCCACTCAAGCTAAACTTGTTTTTTTTCCAAAAGACAATACATTCTATGTCTTCCTTACAAGTATTCATTTACTTTATTTTTGTGTAAGAATATTTTGCCTGTATTTATGTAAGTGCACCTGCATGTGCAATGAGCATGGAGGCCAGAAAAGGATGTTGGCTCTCCTGGAACTGGAGGTACAGACAGTTGTTATAAGTATTTAAAATATGAGCTTTAGAAAATGGCCTTACTTCATCTATTTAAAGATGGAAAACAAACAAACAGTAGTTGTTATGGAGCCTTCCAATGTACCAGCTATCATCACTATTTTTCCACTTTCAAATGCAATTCTAAACTTGTCTCCCTTGTCTATAAGCCTCTAAATTCAGTTTTTTCTTTCAAGATGAAGTTTTCATCTTTTGCCAAAGCAAACAGTTGACCTCAGGTCTGAGGGTGATTTTTAAGGAGAAAGATGATACCATCATTAATTTGGCTCTTTTAATTGGCTTCTGGAGGACATTTGGCCCATCCTGGCTTGTTGGGGCACAGGTTGTGACCCCCAAGTCCAGTAACAATATATGTGCTTAATGTATGAGATGACCTTCCTTCTGAAGGTCAAAGCAATCTATGCTCCTGAGACTCCCACAGGACCAGGTAGGTGGACTAATGCCTTGCTTATATACGGTATTTGGCAGACAGAATACGCAAGGGCTGAAGTAAAGTCCACTCTTCTCTCACTAAGTAAACTGCATGCTGACTCGGGGCTACATTTTCAAGATGAAGCAGTCATTTCCTCCCCTCCCCTCCTCCTTCTCTGTACATGAGGCGTATGTGTATGTATATGAGTGTGGAACCCAGGAGTTAATGCTGTGCGTCTTTTTCAATCACTCTTCACCTTATCTTCAGAAACACGGTCTCTCATTGAACCTGGAGCACACCAATGAGGCTAGACTGCCGGCCTGGGGGCTAGGGCTTCTCCTGCTCGGCCTCTCCTTACAGGGACTTACAGATGTGCACCACGTGGATGTCGGTGGTCACTCAGGCCCTCATGCTTGTGCGGCAAGCCTTCTACTGAATAAGCCATCTCCAGTCCCTGTCCTCCTTTTCTAATTTTCAGACATGGTACATGTTAGCCTGACCTGCGCTGCGCTTGCGTCCTTGACACACATATTGACATACTGCCTTTTCGTTAACCTATTTTCTGGCCTTAACAGTCTCAGTAATATTCCAAACTGCTAGGTTCTCCAAATTAGCATTTTACATGTTTGTCTTGAAAGGAGCACATGGATCTGTAGCATCAACACTGAAAACCTGCAAATTCTGCTTCGCTGCTGTCCTAGCAATCAATTAGTCTTCAGCCATCTGGAAGCAGATTAATTTGGAGACTGCAAAAGGCAGCAAAAGTGGGAAAGCTCAAGAAAAACAAATTTTGTAAGGATCCTGCTATAAATTTAGTACTCAGGCTTAGCTAGTTAGCTCTCCATCATAAGCACCAGGTTTGTAATTTCACTCCCAGGAGAAAGCTGCTTTTCTGTTATGGATTGAAACATTGCCCTCAACCAGTTGAAATGAAGTCAGACTGACTTACCTAGCACTGTCCCGGTAAGGCAGCCTCAGGCGTCTGCCCAGATAGGAGCACGTGCAGCAATGTTAGCTCCATCATGACTAGAAATAACACCACCACTAGTCATTACAAAAGACATCCAGATGTATATGCACTGTATGATAGACCCAAAGGCAATGCCATACCAGACCTACAATTGTGGTTGTCTTGAGAGCTTCAGCAAGGTGTTAAAGTTGTGCTAAGCAACAGAAGGATTATCCATGTCCCTGACAACTTAACTCTGGTGGCAATCTGAGTGTTAAAAGGATACAATTCAGTGTGACTCAATTATTTAAAAGCTTAGCTCAGCACAGTGTGAGTTCTCAACCATGTGCTTCTGTACAAAGCTAATTACTTTATGAGAAACAGGAAATTATCAAGAATGGCTGTTCACTAATTGCATATAGAGTTATAAGTACAGCTAACTTGGTTATAGGAGTAAAGGGAGCAGGGTTTCCATTTAATTTTATTTATTTTTATTTTATGCGTATGAGTGTTTTGCCTGCGTGTGTGAGTGCACCCATGTCATGCAATGCCTGAAGAGACCAGAAGAGGGCATCAGATTCCTTGGAACTGAAGTTATGGATGTTTGTTAGCCACAATGTGGGTGCTTGGTATCAAACCTGGGTCTTCTGGAAAAGCAGCCAGTGCTCTTAACCACTGAACCATCTCTCCAGCCCCAGGTTTCTCTTTAAAGCAGAGCTGAACACTACAATGACAGCATAAATAGAAAGCCAGAAAATTTGGATTGTCACTGATCTCATGTACACTAAAAGAGGTATCCTAGGACCAACCTCACCCGGCACCCTCTCTCAAATCACTGCTGCTTAAATCAAGCAAATTTTTATGTAGTTAATATTAGCACAAATCCTCTTTCTGCTTGCCTGCTTCCTAGCAACTGAAGCAGAGTATCTGCTTGCCAATCCACTATTGGTTTAAAAAAAAAAAAAATAACAGGATACCCAGGAATCTGCATAGTCCTGAAGAGGTGGACGCAGTCAGTAAATGTGATGCTGACTTTGTGAGTCTGCTGTGTGATCCACAGTGCTAGCCATCTGACCTTGCTCTGCTTTCTGTCACAGGCTAGAGAAGATGTGATCCACATGCTGAAGACAGAGAAAACCAAGCCTGAGGTTCTGGAGGCTCATTACGGATCTGCAGAACCAGAGAAAGTGCTTCGGGTCCTGCATCGAGATGCCATCCTTGCCCAAGAGAAATCCATAGGAGAAGATGTCTATGAAAAACCCATCTCAGAGGTAAAAGCAGGACACCAGCAATCTTCTCTAGAAAGAATCCTCAGGGAGAGAGCATCCCTCTTCCTTTGACAAGCTTTAAGGTTTTCTTTCAAAGCACAGTTTTTAGGATACACTAATAAGATCAAATAATTCATAGGTTGTACTGGATAAGTTTTGATAAGAATCTCAGAACCTTTTATTTAAAGATGCTTATAATTGGAAATATATTCTTTCATGTGATTATGAAAGTTACATGTCCTTGTTTCAGTTCTCTGAGAAATTATGTATATATACATTTGGAGTGCTTATTCATTTTCAGTATTATTCTAAAAATGGCAATCTAAAATTTCATTTATTACTGATATTTACAGCCACAACTTTTTGGTATTTTAACGAGTCTCACAATTAAAAAGATCATATGTAAATTACAGTGATCAAGGCAAAAATGCCAACCAAATATTTAATGTAATTCTTTAAGATGAAATAATTCCAATAGGGTTATATTTTATCACTTTTATGCAAGATTAAGCTAGGAATTATGGGCTATTATTAATTACCCATGATAAGACATTTTAAAAATACCCTCACTCAATATATAAATTCAGTGTCAAATTAGGGTACTAGTTTATGGGTCTAGCCATGTTGAGTCTTTAAAATTCATGGGAAAAATTGTAGCTATTCAGTTAGTAGGATGGATTTTTTTTTAAAAAAAAGGAAACTGAAAGTCTGAAGAAACATTTTAAATATTTTTTTGATAATCTAACAGTGTTATTTTTAACAGCAAGAAATATTCTTAATAGTAAGAGGAAGGAGGAGGAGGTTTTATGTAACAAGTACAAAGCAGGATGCTAGAGATAAAATACATTAGTATTTCAAAGACAAGGGGCATGTTAAGTTCATTATTAGGGTACAAACTGCTGTGGGTTTGCAAATATAATTCATTAGTATGTGATTTTCCTTTTAATTAGCATTCAAGGCATTAGATATGATTATGTCATTTTTTTTTAGAAGAAGCATTTCATTACAGCTTTAACATAGTAACACATTGCAGAGCAAGGATACATCTCTTTCAAAGGTGGCTGTAAATTTTTAGGTTCATAGTTGAATTAATACAGTCATACAATATTGAACTCAGTAAAAAGACATAAAATTGAATGAGAAACTCATTTTAAATTTAACTTTCAGCTAACTCAGTGGTAAGATTTGGCTTAGACAGTATTCAAAACAGATTGATAATTCCATATTTTTCTGATTTTTGTCGAGTTACTCTCTCAACTTTTCTTTAAGCTGATTATGTGGCAGGATTCAGTCACCAGGTTGGATCCACATTCATGTGCCTTTGCACAGACCACTTTGGCCCATTAAACCTCCATGTCTTATCTGGGTGAGAGTGAACACAGTGTATACCCCACTGTGGTATCATGAGGATTAAATGAAACAATGCCTGTAAAGCTTTTAACATAGTATCTGACACATGCTAGCGACTCAAAAACTACTAGCCCTTAGTGTTGGCTGGGATTTGACAATAATTATTCATTCATAGCCTTAATTGCTTCTAAATATGGGGGGAGTTGAGGAATAAAACACATATAAAAGTAAAAACATCATGTTTGTAATAATTACAGTGGTGACAGTAATAACTAGAATTGTTGAATCAGTTTGGATAAATGGTTTTATTTGGGCTTTATAATCCTTTTCTCCCAAAACTAGAGCTTGAGGTGGATCATCAGAGCAGATGCCCTTGTAGAATCACTACCCCCGATCCACTGAACTCTGAGGTCAGCACACAGAGGAAGAAACTTCTGTTTACTTTCCGAAGGTCAATCTGACTAGGGCATCCCCACCTGCAGAGAGGGGGCAACACAGAAAGGCTTTTTGTCCTGTGCTGGGCATGCATTTTGTTCCTTTCTCCTTCCAGTAATCACAAGGGTCATTCTTCCCTAGGGGAGCAGTGAGTGTAGAGGGAGAGAGAAGGCCAGAGCTGCTTTTCCAACACCACCAAAAAGGTCCTGCTTTGCAGGAAAAACAGAATGCCAGAAGGAGAAGGGGTTTCTAACACACCCCAGATTGTATGAGCCATCAGTTTCTTCTTATTCAGGATTGAGGGGAGAGGAGTGGTTTGGTCTTGGTCCCAAATTCATGAGGCAGGAACATCAATACATCACTGTTCCAACAGGTTTCTGGGACCCTGAACACGTAATTTAGCTCTTATTCCTAAAAGACATATTGTTTCTCAACTCAAAAATATTTCCATACCAAGGCCTGGGATATAGCTCAGTGACAGAACACTTCCCTAGGCCAGGCAAGGCTATGGGTTTGATCCTAGAAATGCAAACAAACAAACAAACAAACAAAAAACAAAACAAACAAACAAACAAAAAAAACCCCACAAACCCTAAATATCCATACCAAATTAGGCCTCACTGGGTTATCCAGTAGGATACACTGAAAATAAAATAGCAAACTCAATGCAGTGGGCGCTTTCCCTTGCCAAGTGTCTGGTGAGAAATTAAACAGCAAAATCCCCTGAATGCTCTTATAAATTAATTCTACTATATCAAAATTCAATTTGTAATAAGAATTTGAAGAAAATGTAAGGTTTCGGTTTATTTCCCTCTAATTTCTTACTCTGCTTAGCCACAGCCAGAGGGTCTCAATTGATTATTTTTGTTCCTCCTTTAGTAGAATGTCTTGACCTCAGGAGCATTTTCAAAGCTGTACTAATACATCCTGAAGTCCATACATTCACATTTTTCATAACTTCAGAGGTTTATTAGGATGCATGCAATTATCATAGCACCAATTTCATTCTTATAAATTTTTTTTTTAACTTTTAAAAATTCCTAGCTTTAGGCCAGGTATGGTGGTGGTGCTCACCTTTAATGTCAGCACTCGGGAGACAGAGGCAGGCAGATCTCTGTGAGATCAAGGCCAATCTGGTCTACATAGCTAGTTCTAGGCCAGCTGGGGCTACAGGGTGACTCTATCTCAAAAAAGGAATATCCTTAGCTCTCTTTTGTTTGTTTGTTTAGGTGTTACTGAGAATTAAATCCATGACCTTCAGCATGCCAGGCCATATCCCCAACCTGAAAGCTTCTAGCCCTAAAAATCAATGTATTCCAAACCAAATTATATTTTTTGACCTTAGTACAAAGCACAGTAACAGGAGCATGCTGCTCATGTAGAAATCAAAGCAGAGTCTTGAGGCCCAAGGAAAGAACACCGGTGGCTGTAGAATCCTGGCCAGTCAGAGAGTTTTCATAAAGTAGGTACAGCCTGTCACCAGCAGAAGTTAAATCATGATGGGACATGGTGAGCCTGTGGCTGAGCGAATGGTCCAGTGCACTTGTCTTGAGGTGGCTCAGTGAGTAAAGGTGCTTGCTGCCAATCTGGACAACCTGAGTTTGATCCCTGGGACCCATGTGGTGGAAGGAGAGAACCAATTCATGCAAGTTGCCTTCTGACTTCTACATATACACTGTGGCACGTGCATACATACACACATAACACAAATGTCAAAAAACAAATTTTAACTATAAAAAGTTGGTAGAGTTCTGGTGCGGGAGAGAGTTTCAAAGGGTAATTAGGCCAAGGGGAAAGCTTCTGCATTGATTGTCCCTTAAGACTATGAAATGTGTCAAAAAGCATAGAAATATAACTGCCAAACTGTAAATCTTAGGTATTAGTAGCCACCAGCACAGCCTCTCCACCAGTGTCTATGTGGATATAGGCTCCAAAACAAGGGAAAGAAGATGCAGAGGAATATGGGTGACCTCTCTTTTATTTTGGGCCCCAGAAATGATCCAATCATAATGAGTGTACCATGGAGCTATAGAGAGAATCTTAAAACCTTATATAACTGAAAGGCAAACAGAAAACTGAAGGGAACAGCTTCTGTTGCTGATACCCTGTGCAGCCCCCTTCCTTTGAGTTTTAGGGAGTTGGGTATAGGACTGAGAGCAGATTTTAGTATGTGTTTCAGTTGGAGCAATGATTCAGATAGGGTGGAGGAGAGGTAACGTCCAGCAAACTTATGACAATGTCAGATCATTTGGTCACCACAGCTGGAGGTGGTGTTGCTGGCATGTAAGGGGGAGGACAGGATGCTGCTAACCAGTCCTAATGGGTCCAACACGCATAGCCCCACAGTGAACTTTCTTTGCAGTGTCAGCATAGAAAACCCTATGCTGGAGTTTGAGAGAAAGAACAGGATAGGAAACACAGAGCTGTAAGGTTCATCCACTTGAACAAGTGTTTGTTAACCACTTACTCCACCCAGGCAAAGGTAGTAAGGACTTAAACAGATGATTAAGATGTGGCCCCTTACAGGTCTGATACTATGACTAGAAAGAAATGAAAACTCTGTGCAAGAGCTTTAAGACCTCTTTTAGAGATATGTGCTATTTATACATTCTAAACATCCTCCCGGTGTTTAATGTGTCTTGAAAAAAGAGAACTTCGTAGCCTTCTTATACTTTCCCTAGAAATGCAGATAACTGTAGACCTTAACGAATTATGAAGAGGTTTTGTACATGTATGTGTTGAGATCTTGTTTCTCTGAGATCAGGCAGTTATTACCCACTTTCTCTCTGTGGACCAAGGTGCTCTTCTGAAAGCTTTGGGAACTAGACCTAGAGAGTCAAAAGTCCAATTGTAGCCTTATGAACTGGTCATCATGGCACATGCCTATAATTTAGCACTCAGGAGGCTGAGGCAGGAGGATTTTGAGTTCGAGGCCAATCTGAGCTGCGGAATAAGATTATATCTCAAAAACAAAACAAAACAAAAACAAACAAAAACCCCAGAAAACCTGCAGATTATTATAGTTACTTTAAAAGCCAGTTGTTACGGAATGTGGGAAATGGCTGGCCTTTCAGTGTTCTTCACCAGGGAGTAAGTCCCTAGGCCAATGCAACAATCTAGAGTCGCTGCAGATGAAGTCTGACCTTAAGTTCTTCCCTGCTTTGCTCACTCAGCTGGACCGACTGGAGGAAAAGCAGAAGGAAACGTACCGGCGTATGCTAGAGCAGCTGCTGCTGGCAGAGAAGTGCCACAGGCGCACTGTGTACGAGTTAGAGAACGAGAAACACAAGCACACAGACTACATGAACAAGAGTGATGACTTCACCAACCTGTTGGAGCAGGAGCGGGAGAGGTAACAAGCCACACACCAGTCACATCCGGGTGCCTGCCAGTTCATGGCCCACCTACCCACAGAAGGACACTGCAGATAGGTGCTCAGGGCTTGTTCTGGTTTCTGAATCATTTGGAGGAAGGGGAGGAGACAGAAAGAGAAAGAGACACAGAAAGACAAAGAGAGACATACAGAGACATACAGAGAGACAGAGACAGACAAAGACAAAGTGAGACAGAGCGAGTGAGAAAGAGACAGACAGACAGACAGACAGACAGATGGTGTTTTACCTGAGATTATCAGGCAAATATGTTTGGAGTGCATGTAATAGTATGGTGCCATGTTCCCACAAGGATGTTTAAAGCCATAAAACCATACAGCCGGAAAGACACCTATGCAGTTGTATCTGAACTTGATCAATGATGCCACCACATTTGAAAGCCTTCTTATAAATTGCCTTTGATTCGAAATAATGTATTTTACCTTTGGGGTTGAAATTCACTTTTCAGGAGGGTAAATTCTTATATTTAACCATTATAAGTGAATCCTACCCATTAATACCAGTGTAGAAAATCTTAATGTTGGCTATGTATAAATAATAGTTAATAGTATTCCCTACTTAACTTTTTTAAAGGTTGCATACTTTTAAAACACAAAGGAATCAAATCAAACCAAATAAAAACTATGCATGTTCAGCTCCACATCCGTTCTTGTACTGAGTTCCCTCAAACCAGAGATTGCCACAGGGGAAGCAGAATCCCCAAAGCTTTCTAGCCAACTCTTAGATTCACTCTTTAAATTATCCTCCCTGTCCTTCAGCTGAATGTCTTTGATATTTACCTTCTTAGAAGCCACTGAACTGAACCATGGCACCACCTATAATCTCAACCCTTAGGAGGTAGAAGCAGAAGGATCAGGGCCAGCCTCAGCTACATAAGTTCAAAGCCAGACTGTGCTACGTGAGACCAAGCAAACAAACAAACAAAACCAATAAATAATGAACCAAACAGAACAAATTCCATTTATAAAGTTTTTAGAAGTCAGGCGTGGTGGTACATGCCTTCAATCCCAGCACTCAGGAAGCAGAGGCATGTCGATATCTGTGAGATTAGCGCTTTGGGAGGTGGAGGCAGGAAGATTAGGAGTTCAGGTCAGCCTTGGCTACATAGTGAGTTAGGGGACAGCCTGAGCTACATGGACCATGTCTTAAAAGAAAGGGGGAGGTGGTGGGCCGAGGGCGTGGAGGATGGGGAGATAGCTCAGCAGTTAAGAGTACTTGCTGCTCCTGCAGAGAAACTTAGTTCTGTTCCCAGCACCCATGTGGTAGATCGCAACCATCTGTGACTCCAGTGCCAGGGTTCTGATGCCCTCTTCTGGCCTCTGTGGGTGCTCTGCATACATGGGACGCATACATGCAGACAAAACAGTCATGCACATAGAAAAATCCAGGTGGTACCAGTTCACTTGGAGTTGGCTTCATTTCCGTGTATGGCAAGGGCCTACCTATTGCCACTGCTTTTTTCTACTTCCATACTTCGTGTGTTCTGTAACAGTAACTGAAATACTAACACATTAGGCATCCATGTCTTCTCTCCAATCCCAGGCACCTTTGCTCACTAGCTTCCTGTTGGTCAACACTAGACTGACCATTGTAATCCTCCCCCTCGTTTGGACTGTTCCCTCAGCAAGGTGCTATGTACACAGTATGGAGTCAAGGTCATTGCTCTTAATTACCTAAACCAACAGTTGATATTCCCATCCCCATCACTGGGTCATGTCGTCAAAGTTTCACGTTGTTTTTTTTTTTTAGGTCAGGATTCACTGGGGGTTTTGTCCTTGCTCTGCTGACCAAAGCCCATTGTCCCCACAGGGGGCACTGGGACTTTTTACAGAGCATCCCTAGAGTCTTGATCACTCAGACTGACTCTGAATTCTTTTCCCATGCAATGACTCACAAGTTCCAGAGACAGCTGAGCGTTCAGGATGTTCTCAAAGGTTACGCCTGGGATTCCTGCCGGGAGGCTCACAGGACAGTGTCTTGCCCAGGACCCGCAGCACTGAAGGGCGGCCTCCGCCTCCCCACCCCGGCCTGTCCAGCTCCACGAGGAAGGAGCAGGGTTTCTGACCACTGGGAGTCCTAATGGACCACTCCAAGTCTTGTTTGCATCCTTGGTTTAGCCTTCTCTTACCTTTCTCCCTGAAAGCCCTCTGAGCAGTCAACAGGGCCCAGAGCATTCCTCCGGAAGTGCCTGAGTCTTCTGTGGGTGCTGGAAGGAGGAAAAGGCAGCTTTAGCTCTAAGCAAGGCTTGGTCCTTAGGTGCACTCAGCCTGCCTCCTGGGTGCGTCACTCCTCACACTGTGGAAGGGGCGAGGTGTGGGCGCCACAGAACAGGGACTCGCCCGGGACCCGCAGCATCGAAACTCCACTCTGTACTTGTTCCCGTCCATCTGGGAGCCCCTCTGGAAAACGGTTAAAGCTAATACAAAGGGTCTTTTGACGAACACAGAAATCCTAGGCTTTAAGCGTTGCCAGTCTCCGAGATCCGTTCCTTCGGGTTCTCAATCTCCAGGCAGAGGCACTGAGACTCAGAAAATTACATAGTGGATCAACCCCGCAGGGTGCGGGTCACTCGGCCCGCACTTCATGCAAACAGGTATCTTATACAGAAACGGCTGGTCTTTGTGTGTGTAGGCTCCCCCAACCTTCCATTTTCTTGCGTTCAAACTATGACAGGCTTAAAAGACAGAAGTGTGGCTGCTATGAAAACATAAAGAGAAGGATGTTAGTATGAATGGTGTCCCAGGACTGTCATGGTAGCAGGCTCTGGATGCAGTCTTTTGAAGCTGATTTTGAACAGCATATACAGTATTTTACTTAGGGTGCTCTTTATTTGAGGTGGTTATGTAGTGAGGCTGGTGATGTTCATAAGGGAGCTAAATAAAATCTTGACCATTCCCTGGCTGTTGGCTCTGATCTTACCCTATAAGGACAATGCATGCAGAAAATTGTCACTTTTTAAGGAGTGTTAGATTCATCTAGTGTTAGAGTTTTACAAATTAAGAGAATGAATGCTATGTTGTTCTGGGCTTTATCAGGTGTCAACAGACTGATCACAATTTATTAATGCCATGTACAGCACATTTACCGTTATAAGTAGTCTCAAATTAAAGAGAAAACATGAAAAGTATTGGCTTAATCAGCATTCTTACCATTAAAATGAAAACTCTGTTGTTGCTTTATTAAGATTGGATAAGGAAAGCTCCCTTGTTCAAATAGCACAGTATATTCTATTTGGTCTTTATTTCTAGTGACCTTGACCTTTGAAGGTATAATTCTAAGCAGATGAGCTCACCTTCAGAGTTTGTATTTTATTCTCTGTCTGAGCTGCAAGGCTTATGATTTTATTTTGTTTTGTTTTGTTTTTTGAGACAGGATCTCCCTGTATCCCTGGCTGGTCAGGAACTCACTATGCGGCCCAGGCTGGCCTTGATCTCACAGAGATCCACCTGCCTCTGCATTCCGAGAGGTGGGATTAAATGTGTGCACCATCATACCCAACCTAGACTTATGATTTTAATCTTAAACTTCACTAGGACTGTCTAAGAATATGAAAACAGAGCACAGGTATATAAAAATGAGACTTCAGGAACTCGTGTGTATTCTAAGCAGATGAGCTCACCTTCAGAGTTTGTATTTTATTCTCTGTCTGAGCTGCAAGGCTTATGATTTTATTTTGTTTTGTTTTGTTTTTTGAGACAGGATCTCCCTGTATCCCTGGCTGGTCAGGAACTCACTATGCGGCCCAGGCTGGCCTTGATCTCACAGAGATCCACCTGCCTCTGCATTCCGAGAGGTGGGATTAAATGTGTGCACCATCATACCCAACCTAGACTTATGATTTTAATCTTAAACTTCACTAGGACTGTCTAAGAATATGAAAACAGAGCACAGGTATATAAAAATGAGACTTCAGGAACTCGTGTGTGTGTGTGTGTGTGTGTGTGTGTGTGTGTGTGTGTATGCTGTTTAAATCTAACATTGTAGATGTAGGTGGTAAAGTTTTTGCATTTTATAGGCTCAGCTGGGACTACATAAGTAATGATACTGTCACATAATATTTATAGGATTTGTTTTGTTTTGTTTTAAGATAGGGTCTCCCTGTAGCCCCAGTTGGCTTAGAACTCGATATGTAAATCAGGCTGGCCTCAGTCTCACAGAGATGGGGCACCTGCCTCCTGAGTACTAGGATAGGCAGGTACCACCACACCCAGCCTGGTACAAATCAACGTCTCAAGAGAAATCCCTTAACCTGTGCAGCAGAGGCTGTAGGACTAGGTGCCCAAGTGGAGAAGAATTTGCCTATTTGGTGTTGTACCTTTAAGGCAGTGTGAAGAGGTGGGCATTTGCCTGGTGATCTATAAACAGCCTGTGCAATTCTATTTGCTTATGTAGGAAATGACCAGTCAAAAACCTACTGTTTCTGAAAACTTGCTTCAGTGGACTGGAATCTTTGGAGCTATTTTAAATTTACTTTATATGAAAAGTGTCATATCTGGTTTTAGATTTAATTGCTTTATCTCTAAAAGGTGTTGACAAAGTTGACTTATCTCACTAGTTGCTCAGATAAAATAAAGCACTCTACAGAAAAAAATTACTGATTGCATTATGAACGTTGGGGGTCACAGACTGTGCCAAACCAGGTTCAGTTATCCACTGTCAATAAGCTGATTAAAAGAACCAAGTTAATAGTGGAAAGCAGAAAAAGATTTATTCACTGTGGCTGCATTAGGAGGAGAGACAAAGAGATCCTCTGAATCCCCAAGTCCATCTTTGGGGTCCAGAAGTAAGACTGACGTTTAAACAAGAGACTAAGCACGTCCAAATAGTAGCTGATGGAGATGTGCCCAGGCCCATCTTTGACCCATCATTATCTGGGCTTCAATCTCATCCTAGAAAGTAGTTTGACAAGTTGTTAGAAATGCATGTAATCTCTTCCCTGGAGACAAGTTTCCTCTCTGGC